GCAGTTAACCGCCAAGGACAGGGGGAGGAAGTGCTGAGTCCTTGGCCTGCTTCCTGAACTCCAGGTGCGTCAGTCGCAGGTCTTCGCTGGCGGCATACTTCAGGAAAAATCCGCACGTGCCCCCCAAAGAAAGGGTCACCCCTTCCTCAGCTGGTGGCGTGAGACCTGACCTGCCCAAGACTTCCACGCACACATCCGCACTCCTTTCCTCACTGATATCCTTCCCTCTGATACTCCTTCTACTCCACTCCCGCCCTCCCTTCCTCTCTTTCCCGCCGTCCTCCTCCCATCCTTCTTCTTCATGTCCAGCCCCCGCCTATCCTCATCTCTCCTCGCCCTCATCCCTCGTCAGTCTTTCTTTCGAGAGGGACAAAGCTCCACGAAGCTCCTCGTCCTCATCCCTCTTCCTCCTCCTTATCCTCTGCTCTCCACCACCCTCTCGGGAACTGAAAGCTGCAGTGGTCATCTTGGATCCGCGCTTGCCGACACGCCCCTTGTCGTTAGCGGCTCTGCCACAAGAGCCGCAAGCTCTTAGATAGAAGCCGGGAACCAACAGGAGCAGTATAGAGACAGAGGGGAGCGGGAGGAGACGAGCGTAAAGAAGAGGGGAGCAGGAGGAGGAAGAGGAGAGGGGAAGCAGAAGCAGGAGCAGCAAGAGCAGGGCTGGATGGCGAGGACGAGAAAAAGGGACGAGGACGGAGATAATGAGTAAACGACGTAGAGGATGACGAGGTAGAGGAGGAGCCGCCGGCCAAGCTGGGGAGGCTGGGCCGTGCAGTCGGACTTGACTGGGGAGGACACGCGAGAGGACACGAGCCCCTTGCGAGGGCCACATTGCCGCAGGAATGCGAGAAGGCATGGGTAGCGAGGCACAGGACACGAGGGCACCCTTGATCTGGCAGGGTCGATCTACCAATCAAGGCCGCCTGCAGGGCGACTCCCTGCGCTGGTATCGAACCCAAGCGAGGCCGCCGGGTGTGGCTCGGAGCGCGGCTCGAAACTCTCGGCGCCTGGACTTGCCAAAGGGGGGGGGAAGAGGGGGAGGAGAGGGGGCAAGGAGTCCGAGTGTCCGAAAGTGCCGCTGCTCCAGACTTCTGAGCGTCGTGTTCGCGACAGTCTGATCTCATGGAATCGCTCTTGGGCCCTCATGCCCACTCGAGCACCGCTGAGGAGAAGGAGGAGAGGAGGAGGAGGACGCCCACATCAGTGAAAGGTACAGCTTCAAACGCACGACGCTCTAGGAGGACACGCCCTAGCTGAGTCGTCGTCGTCGCCGCCGCCGCCACTGTCACCGTCGTGATCGCCGTCGCCGTTGGGGGTGATTTGCTGCATGCGCCGCAGAAAAGCGCGCGTGAGCACATGCTTGGCCTACTTTTTGTCACCCGCCCGCCCTCCTTATCCTCATCCTCATCCACCCCTTGAACATACTACCAGCGCCGCATGGAGACCACGTGTTCGAGACATGTTAGGTCTGGAAAGCCCAATGTGTTTGCACCACCCCCTTGAGATCGCAAGAGGCTCCCAAGAAATGAAACAGAAATTATACAGTTAGTGGAGAGGGAACCGCCACAGATTGGGTTCGGTTGGTCGGGGTTCGGTTGACCAAAACGGACCCAAACGTTGCCAAGAAGCCGCCAAGACGGGCCAAGACGTTTCTGGATCGCCCAAAAATCGATCCAAGACGCCGAACATGAACCCAAGACAGCCCAAGAGGCCGCCAAGACGCCCCCAGAGGCCCCCAAGAGGTCTTCCAAAAGGGCCCCGACCGGCCAAAATCATCAATTTCCCTTAGGAACACTTGCATTTTAAGCATGTTCGCCTCTTGGGCCTTCACAGTGTCCAAAACGGCTCAAGGGCCCTCAAAAAGGCTCCAAGACGGCCTAAGAAGGGTTTACGCAGGCCCAGGATGCCCCCAAGACGGCGCAAGAGGGCTCCAGGACGGGCCCAAGAGGCGCCCACAAGGGCTCCAAGACGGCCCAAGAAGGGCCCAAGACGGCCCAGGAGGCCCCCAGGAGGCCCCAAGACGCCCCCAAGAGGCCCCAAAAGGCCCCAAGAGGCCCCAAAAGGCCCCGAAAGGCCCCCAAGGACCCCCCCCCAGTGTCCAAAACGGCTCAAGGGGCCCTCAAAAAGGCTCCAAGACGGCCGAATAAGGGCTTACGCAGGCCCAGGAGGCCCCCAAGACGGCGCAAGAGGGCTCCAGGACGGGCCCAAGAGGCGCCCACAAGGGCTCCAAGACGGCCCAAGAAGGGCCCAAGACGGCCCAGGAGGCCCCCAGGAGGCCCCAAGACGCCCCCAAGAGGCCCCAAAAGGCCCCAACTGTCCCCCAAGGACCCCCCCCACCCCCACCACCACCACCACACACCACATCATCCATCATCATCCATCATCATCAATCATCATCATCATCATCATCATCATCATCATCATCATATCATCATCATCATCATCCATCATCATCATCCATCCATCATCATCATCATCATCATCATCTATTCATCTCATCATCATCATCATCATTCATCATCATCATCATCATCATCATCATCATCATCATCATATCATCATCATCATCATCATCATCATCATCATCATCATCATCATCATCATCATCATCATCATCATCATCAATCATCATCATCTCATCATCATCATCATTCATCATCATCATCATCATCATCATCATCATCATCATCATCATCATCATCATCATCATCAGCATCATCATCATCATCATCATCATCATCCTCATCCTCCTCATCTCATCCTCATCCTCATCCTCATCCTCATCATCATCATCATCATCATCATCATCATCATCATCATCATCATCATCATCGTCATCATCATCATCATCAACATCAACATCATCAACATCATCATCATCATCATCACCATCATCATTATCGTCATCATCATCATCCGAAGCGCCCCGGATCGGCGGCACTGGCCAGAGGCCATTTCAATAATACAGTTAGTGGAGAGGGAACCGCTGGTGGCCCGAGGTGTCCCGTTGAGTGAGATCGATAGTGAAAACGATAGTAAGATCGACACGTGTCCCGTGGTGTCCCGTGGTGTCCCGTTGAGTGAGATCGATAGTGAAGTCGATTGAGTCAGATGTTGGTTCCCCCCCCCCTCCCCCCCACAACCTCCTTATCACCCGAAGGGTGGTCGTAAGGTATGGGTGAGCCTGAATACGAGTGCATCAGTATCAGTAGAGGTGGGTATCAGTGAATACGAGTGTGAGCGATCCTGAATTTGAGTGGGTCTGAGTGTACAGGCATATGATGCATGCTCGTGAGGCTGAGCGTGGGATTCTATTAGTGGAAGCGAATCGGAGTATGAGAGTATGAGCTAGTCTGTGCACGAGTGAATACGAGCGTGAACGAGTCCGAGCTCAAGGGAGGGGACGGAGACGGGGGGAGGGAGACTGAGTCGAAGGGGCCCTACCAATAACAAGAAGCCATACCCAGGAGATGTGTAAACATAGTCCTCCAGGCTCGTCGTAAGCCAGCGCGTCAAATCGAAGGGGGAAGGCGGGACACACCACAACCGACAACACGCGCTGCGTAGTTGTATCAGGGCACGTGCGAGGTAGATCGTGGGAGGGCTACCTTCCGAAGCCCCCCCTCCCTCCGTCTGGACAAGGGGGAGGGGGGGGCACTTAGCTGGAAGCTGGTTTCGAGGGCGTCGCGGTGGCGCTCTTCGGGTCGCTCGCTGAGGGCATGCGTCTCATGACACGGGGCATGCAAAGCGGAGTGCCGAAGCTGAGATTCGCAGCTCCTCGCGCCAAAACGCTGCGAGGCGGCCACACGCCATCAAGCGAAGAATAACACCGTCATCGCGTTTAACAACAGACCGCGCATGTTTTCTCAATTCACCTCTCCCCCTTCACATCCCCCCAGTCCTCCTACTCATACTCCTCCTCCTCCTCCTCCTCCTCCTCCTCCTTCTCCTCCTCCTCGTCGACCTCGACCTCTCAATTACTCCTCCTCCTCCGCATATACGCCCACGATAACGCGTCCACGGATACAAGCGCATGATGGACTAAGCGTAAGCCTCTCGAATAACATCGTCTCCACGTGCGACAACAATCCTCGCATCTCCTTCGGTTCCGTAGACGCCTCTTCGATGATCGCCTGGCGGAGAACCGCTCACTTGCAAAGGGAAGCGCTTTTACTCACTGGGGAAGCAGCGGGACCCCGCAGATTCGGATAACTCATGGGGTAGTCGTGGGGAGGAGGAATCCTTGCCCGAGGAGCTCGTGGGCAAGGGAGGCATGATAGTGAACCGGGCGGTGGACTGCAGCACGCGCGCTTTGGTCAGCACCACGCGCTGCGGCTCCACGACGGCGTCTCTCCCCCCCCTGCAGCCCCATCAGCCGCCCGTGCGCACGCCATCTGACAAAGCATACAGTGGAGGCCCGACCACAAAAAACCCAACCCTGAGACCCCAGGACGTCCATTGATTTTTGGTGTGGGCACGTCGCGCTTTCGATGGCAAAACCATCGAAACCCAAGAAACCCCGGGCACTCTGGAGGCAAGCAGGGTGTCTCTTGGCATGGGCCCCCACTGTACGCATGGAGAGGACCAGCATTCAGGTCCCCCCCCGCTAGCCCACACAGCGCAGCGGCGGAGGCGACGAATGTTCGAGGAAAAGGGAGAACCTCTTGGCGCCTCCAGATCAAGCCGAAGACACCAGAACCCCGACCCGAAGGCCGAGGATCTTGGCCTTGTGGTCTACGAGGTACTACGGTTAGCATTGCAAAGATAGCGTGCGACACCGACCTCCGAAAAGCACGCCATCCCCGAAAGTAAGGCTTCATCCGTGCATCCTGGTCCTGTGAAGCGACCCCCCTGCGAGGGATCCTTCTACGCACGGCGGAGGACAGCGTGTAATAAGCGGGCCCGTGGCGCCACATCGCACGCTATCTCTGCAAGGCCACGTGTAGCTCCTTGTTTCGCCCCGTGGGCTTCGCAGCCTGCGCTTGAGCAGCGATGCGGCGCCGCAGGGCCTGCCACGGCGCCAGGGAACACCGCACGGACACCCGGCCCAAGCCGGAGGCGGGCAGACGGGCAACGGCACACGAGGGGGGAGATGCGGCAGGTTCGTGTCGTGCCGACCTGGGCGTTGGTTTCTGATGCCGCGGGGATCGTTCAACCTTGAACGATCGGCCGTTACCGAAACGTCAGATCCTTCAACCTCGGCCGATTCTGGGTTGCCGGCGGCGTTCGCTTGGAACGCTGGCGGCGGGGTCGCCGCCGGTCGACACGACGCGAACCTGCAGCAGAGGGGCAACAGCATCTCAGGGGGGAGTGAGAGAGATGGACGAAACTTGGGAGGATGGGGAAACTCCAAGGTACAGATACCGCTGCACCCCGGACCTCTTCAGGGGTGCGCTCTGACCAGGAGTTCGAGGCAAATCCAGCCGTGTCGATGAGGGCCTCCCAGGAGGCCCAAAACATCGAAGACAAGGTGAGCAAGCGGTATCGGTACTGTTCCTCCTCGGGGAGGAGGAGACGGAGAGGAGGGCCAACAGAAGAAAGAGGACTGGGCAGCTTCCCGTTTTGCCCTCTCGGGTGAGGTCAGCCGCAGGCAGACGCCCACCCTGGCGGCCTTCAGCTCGACCCAGGAGACTCGAGGCCGCGGGAGCGCCCCGACGGGCCTCGGGAGCAGCGCGGGCGAGACCTTCGAAACCGCGGCAACGGGAAAGGTACCGATACTGCTGCCCTTGCCTCGTCTTCGCTGGGTCTCTTGGGAGGAGGAGGAGGAGGAAGAGGAGGAGGAGGAGGAGGAGGGGTGAGAAAGCAACAATGCGTCCAAGTGAGGAGGAGGAGAAGAAGAATAATCTGAATAATAAGAATAATAGGAAGAAGGAGCAGGGAGAATGAGGAGGACGAGGACGAAGACGACGAAGAGGGAGGAGGAACAGGAGGAGGAGAGAATAGGAGGAGAGGAGGGGGAGGAGGAGGAGGAGGAGAAGGAAGAGGAGGGGGAAGAAGAGGAGGCCCCCCGGCTCCACGGCGGGATGCGCCTCGCAATCCTGGTCCGAACGCACTCCGGGAGAAGGTCCGGGGAGCAGCGGCGCGTCGGTCGACGAAACTATAGAAGCTCCGCGCTGCTCCCGGGCAGGCTTCGCTGCCCGGCGAAGGGGTGGGAGCAGGCAGGAAGGGGAGGGGGGAGGGGGAGGATGAGGAGGAGGAGGAGGAGGCGGAGGAGGAGGAGGAGGAGAAGGAGAAGGAAGAGGAGGAGGAAGGGGGGGAGGAGGAGGAGGAGGAGGAGGAGGAGGAGGAGGAGGAGGAGGAGGAGGAGGAGGAGGAGGAGGAGGAAGAGGAGGAGGAGGAGGAGGAAGAGGAGGAGGAGGGAGGAGGAGGGAGGAGGATCACTAACCTGTTTTCCAAGTCTGCGAGCGGGCCGCCATTAACAGCTACTCGGTGGAACAGGAAAGACCGAGGAATTGCTGATGGGGGACACCCTTTGCTTGGGGAGCCCCCAACTCGCAGCCTGTTGTGGGGGGGTGCTAGATGGGGGCCAGCCCGGGCTAGCAACCCCCAAGACGGGCATCCTGGAAGGCGGCAATCTGCGCGCAGCGGCCGCAGCAGCGACCATCTGGCGGCTGCACGACCCTGCCCTTCTCCGAGGTTGGGGGGAGAGGTGCCGACGAGCAGAGGCGAAAACTTGCGAACGGGGCAGGAGGACGGGGTAATGCGGCGGAGTGGGCGATCGGGTTTGGAGGGACGAGGGGGTGGAGGCTGCCTCGGTTAGGGGCAGCACGTGGGAAGAGACTCGGGTGGCAGCGCCAATGGGGGGCCGCCAGACGCGCTGGCTGGAAGCAGGGCCCCGCTCCACGAGCCTCGCTCGGACTGGAACCTGGCCGAGCTTCAGCTTTGACCGGAGGCGCCACCCGCCCGATGCCCCACCAGGCGAGCGGGACACATTCACCTGCACATGGATTGCGAAGCAGACTCAGCTGTCATACCCTTTTGCCTATAACAGCAAAGTGTCAAACGCTACCCCCGAACGCATGGCCGAACGGCGGCGGGCCGGCAATGCCTGACGACCCTGCCCTCTCCCGAAATTGGGGGGAAGGTGCCGACGAGCAGGGGCGAAGTGTTGCGAAGGGGGGAGGAGGAGGCCACAGCACAAGCAGAGTGAAGTGGAGGAGCGCGTGCGTACCAGGGGAAGGGGAGAGAGAAGGAGAAGGCAGGGACACGGCTAGCTGGGGTGAGGTCAAGGAGCGGGCGAGCGGGTCGGAAGGGAAAGGGGGTAGGGGCTGCTTGGGTTTGGGCAGCACTTGGGAAGGGACTAATTGGCGCATGCCGCACTATCCATGTATGGAGCAGGAAGTCCAACAAAGTGCTGCCACAGAACTTGCCTACAAGGCGGTCCCAAGATGGTAATGAGGATGCTAATGTGTGCCATCGGCACATGGCAGAAACTGGCTGGGGCTGGTAACCTACTCCGCAGTGCCTTTCCCCACTGTTCGGGATCAGCGCTGGCAGCAGTGCGTACCATGGAGATGGGAAGAGAAGGCAGGGCAACAGAAAATCAGGGGCAATGCGGCGGAGCGGGCGATCGGGGTTGAGGGGACAGGGGGTGGAGGCCGCCTTCAGGGGCAGCACGTGGGAGGAGACCAGGGCGGCAGCGCCAGTGAGAGGCCGGCATGCGCGATGGCTGGAAGCAGGGCCCCGCTCGACGAGCGTCGCTCGGACTGGAGCCTGGCCGTGCTTCAGCTTTGACCGGAGACGCCACCCGCCCGATGCCCCGCTGGCGCGCCAGGTGGGCCACTGAACCCGAATTTTGTGCACCACTTCAAACAAAGTGTTGTCCACCAGGCGAGCGGGACCCATTAACCTGCCCATGGATTGCGAAGCAGACTCAGCTTTATACCCCTCTGCCTACAACATCAGAGTGTCACATGCTACCCCCGAACGCGTGGTCGCACGGCGGCGGGCTGGCAATGCCTGACGACCCTGCCCTCCCCCGAAGTTGGGGGGGGAGGTGCCGACGAGCAGGGGCGACGTGTTGCGAAGGGGGGAGGATGAGGCCACAGCAGGAGCAGAGTGAAAGAAGGGAGGAGGAGGAGGAGGAGGAGGAGGAGGAGGAGGAGGAATAGGAATAGGAATAACCCTGGGGCGCCGCACCGTCCATCCAGCCTGCCAGGAGGGCGCCTAGGTTCTACTACTGTAGGCCGAGAGTGCCGCCTGCGCGCTGGCCAGCGCCACGGTGGGGCTGGCTCGGGCCCAGTGGCGCACCCAATGGCGCGCAGCCAAGCGGCTGCCACCATCAGCACCGTCCTCAGGGAAGCTCTTGCCTGAGCGACGCACACGCGAACGAGGGGAGGGGCAGAGCGCCAGGCGCCTTGCCACATCCCCAGAGGGACGAGGAGGAAGCACCGCCCGAAGCACCCTCAAGGGAGAGGAACCAGCGGCCCACCCCTACCTCGAGAGCGGCCTCGAGCAGCACCCTTTCCCCGCCCCTTAGCCCCCCTGCCGCGGTTGACAGGGGGTCGAACATTTAGTGCAACAGCTGGCCCCATTTCAGAGGCATTCTGGATCGTGTACATAAGGGGGGGAGGGTCGGAAGGGGGCTCCAGGCCAGGAGGAGGAGGAATGGGGCGAGGTAGAAGCAAAACAGGAGCGGGCGGAGCGGCTAAGCCTCGCACACGACGAGCCGCATCCTCAGAAAGAAGACCTGCGCGCAGAAGACCGCGCACACGGTCGCTCTGGCTCCAGTCGAAGCCGCTGGAAAGACTGCGAACACAGCTCACCTGACTACGTCCAGCAGCCGCTGCGCCTCCCTCACGAGCACCCCGCGAGGCGCTCCTCCAATCGTCTTGGTGCCGCCCTCGGCGCGGAGCGTCGCTCTGATCGCCTTCAGCAGCCCGATTGCTTCTGGAAGCTCTCCAGCCAGCAGGAACTGCACCTTCACCATGTCCTCGCCCTCGGGGGACTTGGTCTTGACCCTCTTGGCTTTGCAATAGCGGATCGTGTCCGCGAGCTCCTCGGGATTCGTGATCTTCATCACGGTCTGCACCCAGAAGGCGTGGGCCGCCTTCCTGTCCTCCGCCAAGAGCGTGCCCCCCTCGGGCTTTGTCGCCGCCCCCTGCACCAGCGCCGTGAAGACACGAAGGTGGGGCGCGCACAACTTCCTCTTCGTGTAGGTCGGATCCTGCTTCTCCTTCTCGCGCTCCTCCTGCGCCTCCGAGTTGAAGGCCTGGTTCTCCTCGAGCATGAGCTGCACGGTCGGGGAGTCGACCTTGCACAGCCACGTGTCGTACACCGCGCCGATGAGCGCCCGCAGCTCCGCCTCGTCGCTCAGCACCAGCTTGGCGAGGACGATGACCAGCTCGTCCAAGCTTTGTTTTTTTCCACCTTTGGCGGATCCGCGGGGCGCGCCGCTTGGCTTCTCTCCTGCCTTCGGCTTCTTGGACGACGGCGCCTGCTCGGACAGCTTGGCCATCCAGCCTGGGCGCGCGAGCGTCGACATAGCTCACAGTCGCCTCACCAGCAACAATATAACAGTGTCGGTGTCGATCATAAACAGAAAGCTCTCGAGGAAAATGAATACGGACATGAAACTGATAGCTCTTGAGATCAGATCCATGAAATTCACAAAGCAGACATTGTAGATCATTAGGCTCATGCAGGGGCTCTTGAGTTCGCCCCCCACCCGAATAACAGCAGCCTCTATTCATGGAACCAGCCAAATGACGACTCGCCGTGACGGTGCTAGAGAAGACCTCAAGGCAGTTGGGGCACTGGTTGGTTTTGCAGAGGACGTGCCCGAGAGACCGAATCCCATGATGAAACCTCATATGATTAAGGGCCGCTTTCTTATCGGGTAAAACTTCACCACAGACTTGTTTAGCTCCCTCTGTCCCAATAAATACCCCACAGACCCACTTCACCCCGTCCTCCTTGAAGCTAACCTCCTCCTCCAACTCCTTGACAGGGTCCTTCGGGATATACTCTGGTGGGGGAATACATACGGTGTGACGCCGACGTTTAAGAAGAGAGAAATCTATTTTTCCCAGCGACTTGCCGAGATCCTCGTCCCACCAAAGCGCGAGGAACGAGCCTTGCAAGCGGGCGAGCAACTCCTCGCCCTCTTCCAGCACGTGCAGACTTGCCAAGTCTGCGAAGAGAAGTCTTGCCCACGGGTTTGCGTAGGCCGTGAGACGCCCCATGTAGTCATACTGGGGACCAGGGTCAGAAGGAAGCTCCGCAAACAGAGCCGTGATGATCTGCACGTGGCGGTGCGGGAAGCGCACAATCTGCACCAACCAGTTCAAACGCCTAACCCGCAGCTCAAGAAATGTGGGGTTGAGCCTCCAGTAGTCCAAAACCTTCTCAGTGGGTAGAGTATGTATATGTAATTCTCCTTCCCAGGAGGCTCCTCCCCTCATCGCAACTCTACAGTATTTAACAAAGACAGTATCAATACGCTTACACTGGCCCTCGGTCACCAGGAACGCCTCAAGATTTTGGAGCCCAGCATTTTGCACCCCCATCAAGACAGATCTGCGAAGACGGAAAGCGACGTCCTTGGTCGACCAGAACTTGCCCAGGGAATGGAAAGAGGCCTGCAAAGCTGAAATACGTTTGGTCACTTCCACCGAGATCACCCCCGTAGCATGTATCTGTCCTCCCAGCACCCTCATGTAAGGAACAACCCCTCCATCAAAAAAATGCTCGCTGTTCCTACGTAGCACACGATTAGCAGCAGCAGAGCCTCGGCCTACCAGTGAGACGATGGTGTTCTGCTTGGCCCGATTCTGAGCCCACCCACCGGCAGCCAAGGCGGTGTCCAGCAACTGATTGGAGTGCCGATTCGCAGCACTCAAAACTTCGAGGGCCGCGTCCTCTCTCAAAGATGCCGCACCACCTCCGATATGAAGCTTGGTAAGGTCATCAGCGTATTTCGTCAAGCTGAGATCGACCTCACCCAAACCTAAAATAGGACACTCGGCTCGAAGAAGTTCTTCAGAATCAAGAGTCTCTCGAAGTTGCTCACTCCACTCTTCTACTGGATGTGAATATGCCCTGCTAAAGCTTTCGACAGCGTACGGGTCCCCCATGAGAGCACCACAACGAGGCCTGACGATAAGTTTACGATCTCGAGTCGGAAGTTCGATAGTCGCCGAGCGAAACCGATCCAAACCATACTCCCAATCCTCTAAGTCCAGAAGCTCCGAGTTGACCCTTTCCAAGAGCCTCCAAGACGTCGAGGGGAATGCATTGCTGAGGTCCTTGTTGGACCAGGTAGTACTGTAGCCTCCTAGCCGAAGACGGTGAGACATAATCTGCATAACCATCATGGCACCTTCCTTCCTCCTCCCCCTCGCGAATCCGTAGTCACAGGAGGAGGAGGAGAAGGAGAAGGAGAAGGAAGAGGAGGAAGAGGAGGAGGAGGAGGAGGAGGAAGAGGAGGAGGAGGAGGAGAAGGAGGAGGAGGAGGAGGGGGAGGAGGAGGAGAAGGAAGAGGAGGAGGAGGGGAGGAGGAGGAGGAGGAGGAGGAGGAGGAGGAGGAGCATCGCTGCCCGGCGAAGGGGTGGGAGGAGGGCAGAAGCAGGCAGACGGCGGAGAACGCGCAGGGGCGGGAGGCTGGGGCCGGCGGGGCGGGCGGGCGGAAGGGGGGCCAGGGTGAGACAGCAGGCAGGGAGCAGGAGGAAAGGGAAGGAGGCAAGGAAGAGGCGAGGGAAGCAGGAGGCGGGCGGGCGGAGACAGCAGGCAGGAGGAGAGGGAGGGAAGCAGCCGCCAGCAGACAAGGCAAGAAGCAGCGGTGTCGGTAATTGGCTTTCCCTGAGAGGAACCGTCGGATCCCGTCGGGCGCCCCAGTCGGCCTCCTGCTCAGAGGCCCCCCTGACATCAGAGGACAGCGCGGGCCACGCCCTCTTGCCCCAGCTCCTCCTTGTCCTCCACCGCTGAGCCGCCTGCCTACATACCAATGTTCGGCATCCTCCCTCCAGGAGAAGAGGAAGGGAGGGGTGACAATTTCTCCTCTTCCTCCTCCTCCTCCTCCTCCTCCTCCTCCTCCTCTTCCTCCTCCTCCTCCTCCTCCTGCTCATCCCTCCTCCTTCCTGCTTCCGTTTTCTTCCTCATCATCCCCCCTCGTCCTCTCTCCATCGTCGCCGAGCACCGCGACCGCGAGCGTCGCCCGAGTCGAAAAGCCGGCCGCGCCATGCGTAGCATAGGAAGGATTGACGCCAGGCTTAGTCGCGTTTGCGTGCACCCGTCTCCTGGCCCCCGCGCTGCGAGCTGGAGCTGCGGTGCCCGACGACGACGTGCGAGAGAACATGAGGGGGGAGGGAAGCCAAGGAGACCGAGGAGGAGGGGGAGCGGGCTGGGGTCGTGTGCCCCCACCGTGGACTCCCAGGCGATGGGCTCTCCTGCGCCCGCGACAGGAACACGGCGTTCGAGCTCTCGCAGCGGTCGACCAGGCGAAGGCAGATGTCCAGGTCCGCGAAGTCGAAGGGCCCGAGCCGAGGGCAGTTCACCACCTGGGAGCCGCGAGGTTTCGCCCCCCCCGCTGAGATGAGAGAGCGAATATGGAAGGGGTAATGGACGGAACATTCGGGTGCCCGAAACCGTGCTGTGACGGACCGCGTGGTGACCTCGGAATCCTCAACGACCTCAATCGCGCGGTCCGTCTCCGCATGTTGGGACATCGGAGGCCCCAATCGCCCGAGACGTCTCGGAAGAAGACCCGAGTCCGAAAACCGTGAAGTGACATCGAATCCCCACTGACTCACCACACGGTGTCGCCACCATACCGTTTGGGGGCTCCCAAGCACAAGGGACAGAGCGGAGCGGACCGAAGGAGAGCGATCGGGAGGTGCAACTTACGGCGCGCTTTAAGTGTGTGCGCGTGTCGATACAATTCTGCGTGCGTGTGCAAGCACACTCTCCGAACGAGTAGAGATCTGAAACTATAACTGGCGTTGGCGTGTCGGACTGTTTTCGCCGCGTCGCAGTGGATACCCTCAAACTCAGCAAATCAGGCGCACCCCTCACACAGATCACGACGTCAAGGGTCCAATAGAACCATTACTGCTCACCATGTTTGCTAGAGGTGCTTGGCACCACATTACTTTGCGAACAAGTTGCGCATAAGAGCTGAATCAATCAACAATTGCCAATCGCCCCTTACCTCTGTTGCCAGCATTTCGGCTCCACAGTTGTCAACAATGCTTTCAACACTTTGCAAGTCAAACAGTTGCCGTCATGGTTCCAGCTGCTCTGCATACGCATGCACTCTTCATCCAAACAGGTGTATTCCTGAATTGCCTACGCATGTTGTTCCAATGCCTTTGCTTCACACATGTTCGAGCACATGGGTAGCTGATTTATGTTCCTCTCCCCATGTCGTTTGTTCCGAGGTTCGTACGTACTCCTTGCGTCTTTGCGTACATCCCCCTGCTCGGTTCGTGCGACCCTGAGCACGCAAGTGCCGCTGGTGTGCCCATTCCGACGCACACGGCCAGTCCCAGAAGCCCTAAATCCAAGCACATTGGCATGTCTCTGGGACGACTTGTTCACTTCCGCCTGCTTCCGCCAACTTCTGCCCGCGGAGCTGCCCTCGCTTTACCTTCTCTGGCGTCCGCCAGCCTTCCGCCGAGGAAGAGATGCACACCCCTCCGCTCGTCGGAGCAATGCCCGTTTTGGTATGTCCCCAAACAGCACCTATACACCAATACATGTGTGCATACAACTATGTGTATGCACGTCCGTATGCATATCTCTCTCTATATCTACATATATATATATATATGTATTATATTATATGTGTAGATATATAGGTATAAACTAGCGCCTGCACTCTCACAGATCCGTAGGTATATACACATCCATGTGCGCATGTGCCCACGCACCGCCCCCCCCCCCCTCCCCCGAATGGTCCCTGGTCTGCTTCTCACCCTCCTGGTCTTCCCTCATTCTCTCCCGTCTCACCCTACTCCTCCTCCCCAGCCTCCACTTCATCGTCTCCACCCCCTCCTTTCCTCAATGTACGTTCTCCTCATCCTCCCTGTCCTCCCCCTCCCTCCCCCTCCTCTTCAATATTTTCCTCTTCCAGAACCCATCGGGTCTGAGGACGTCCCGACCTGAAAACAGTTCAAGTCAATAGAAGCCCAGTCGGTCGAATTGGGCTCATTACGAATCCCATAGAAATCCTTTTGGCCTGGGGCCCTCTCGATGCCGATGAGAACCCTAACTGGATGCTTTCAAATCAAGCGGGGTGTTTCTGGATCTGTGGCCTGTTCCATTCCTATTGCAATATTGTTTGGCTGCTCTTCTAATCCATAGAAGCCCGCTGGATGATGAGGAGGCGGAGGAAAGAGGAGCAGGATGAAGGAGAGGGTAAAGGGAGGAGGAACAATCATCTGGACCTGAAGCTCTTCTCAAGCCACATTGGTATCCGATTAGACCGATATTCAAACCATATCGGATTCCACTACATGGGGGGTCTGCTTCAGTCCACTTGGAACCCGACTTGCGTTCGGTGCAAATCACAGAGAATATGTCTGGTTCGGGACATGCTCGATTCCACTTTAAAGTCAACTTGCGTGCTTCCCAAATCAAACAGAAATACTATGCACCTAGGGCCTGCTCCGTTCCTATTAGGCTATACTTGTTGCGATATTCGAATCCAACAGAAATCCTCTTCATGAGGAGGGGAGGTGGAGAGAGGAGATGGACGAAGAGCAGGGAAGATGGACGTGGAGGAGGAGGAATGGGTTAGCGGACCTTCAACACGATCTCCAAAATACAAATCAAGATGTGAGAGCGCGACCTCTTCTGCAGACCATACATCACAGCGTCGTCTATACTTTGAACATTAAGTTTAGGAGGTCCAAAGCACAACAATACATGCGAAACACACACACACACACACACTATTTCGACAACCTGTACAATAAAACAATGCAAGACTTTTCTGTGTAGTTACAACTGGAGGCGTTCCAAGCCACACTTTCACGCACGAGAGCATATGTGCGCTGACACCTGCATCACCAAACGGCATGACACTGCGTGAACATGAGATTGTGCCCAACATCTTCACGAAACCAGCCTAAGCAAAAACTGTACATGCGTTTTGCTCGTTGGAGGGGGGAGCGGAGCGGCGGCCAAAACATCCGTCACGCGGGGTGGCTCCGCAATGCGCACTGCGCACGGCGGGGCCGGACATGCACCAGACACGGACTCAGTGAAACAATGGAGCATCGTGCGGCCGACTCGTTTACTCCAGGGCCCGAAGAAGGAGCTTGGGAACAGGACCTGGAAGACCCACAGAGCCAGGGCAAGGACCAGAGGCGACGGGGCAGGGGACAGGGAACGGGCAGAGAGACTGCGACTGCTGAAAGCCGTCCAAAGGAGATCATGCCGAACCATTTCAGAACAACCAATTGGTCTGTGTGACAGCGGCGGCACAGCGCAGCAGCGACGATGACAACGACAACGGCGACTACAAGGGAGAGAGGGAAAGCAGGGGAAGACGAAACGACAAGAGAGACAGGAGGGGATGGGAAGGGCGAGTCGAAAGGGGGGAGAAGGGGAGGGAGGGAGGGAAAATGGCGCGGTCGCCGTCGGCCCAGTTCGGCCAGCCTGAATACATCGGGGCTACAGCGAAACGCTGCTTTCATTGCAAATCATGTGGTCTGGTAATGTAGGATGTGAAAAACAGAGGGCCCCAAGCAAGTCTGTCGGTTGATTTGGGAGCCTACCTGTGCATTTCTTTTGGCGAAAGGGGTTGCCAGCGCATTCCCCCTTAACAGGACCCCTTGAGTAATCCACCATAGAAGATATGAACACTTGTGCTGAGGAATCCTTTTGTGCTCCGCCGCAAGAAGAGTGTTCCTGCAACCCACCACGAAAAAAACTGCTGGAATCGGCCACGAAAACAACCACAACATGAATATGTTTGCACTCCGCCGCAAATACATGTTTCTTGTAATTCGGAAAAAGGAAGATCCTCTATAACCCGCAGCAAATGTAATACTGTTGTATCGTGGGCCAAAACGGCTACTTTGTATTCTGCCACAAACGAACCATTTTGCAATTCACCACACAACATATTCCTTCTGCAATCCGCTACACAAAGAAATTGATGTGGATTGCTTGGGCGGGTGAAACACACGCGTTCTCTGAGCATTCTATTACTTTCGCAATCGAAATATTAGTTCCACCTGTGTCCGCTCAAGCGTTTGTCTTCTTATTATATCAAAGCGTCTCTAATAGGAGGAGAATAGCATCCTAATATTATTGTTCCTTCTCCTGGGGCTGCTCCTCCTCCTCCTCCTCCTCCTCCTCCTCCCCTCCCTCCCTCTATCCCTCCTTCCCTCCTCCTCACCCGCCCCGCCTCGTCCTCCTCATGCCCCCCCTCCACACGTTCCTCACCCTCCTCTTCCCGAGCATCTTATCCACCACCCATCACCCGCTGTGTCATCCTCCTGCTCCCCTTCATTTTCCTTATGGTCTCCCTCCTCCCCCACCTTCTCAAACCGCGCCGACCCGCATAGCCCACGCTTGGCTGAAGAGGGTTCTGATCAACAGAATACGGTTCAACTGTGTTCAAAGGGCGCGCCGCGGGAAACAGCCGCCGAAGGTGAGGTACATCCGCGCCCCCCCGCCGTGCGGCTGAGCACAGGTGAAATGGTCATACCATTCCTCATGACTAACCACGCCAGCCCTCTGGGCGGTGGTGGCTTAGAACGCTTCCTCTTCCCAGTCCCCCCTCCCCCGATCGTCTCCCATGGGTCTGGACGGGGGGGGTCGGGGAGGTACCAAAGGGCCCATCGTGATTGATGGTTTGGCATCTGGCGGATTGATGGTTTCCGGGCTGCGAGGTCATGCATCTCTCGGGCTTCTCAAGTTCGACCATCTCTTTGGGCAACTGGTGGTCTGGCGTGTAAATTGTCGCTCCAATTGTGCAACGGTTGGCCCTTGAGTCTCGTAGATTGCCTCCCAGCAGGAGACGATGAAAGGTTTCGATGGCTGGAGTCCAGCAACGTCGGGCTCGACGAGTTCGAGCGTCGCAAGTGCTCTGGTCGACCAGTCCGTCGTGCCCAAGAGCAAGAAGGACAAGGCGGAGGCCAAGAAGAGGAAGGATGGTGACAAGAAGGCTGCTGATCTTGAGAAGTGCCGGCAAGAGGAGAAGGAGTTTCTCGACAAGATTGCTAACATGCCGCTCGATGAGCAGGAGAAGGAGAAGGCCGAGCGCGCCAACGACCAGGCGTTCGCCCAGGCCAAGAAGGAGTACGAGGCCAAGTACAACGAAGCGAAGACCAAGTCCACCAGCTTCCGCCACGTGTGCGAGGTGATGGTTCCCCAGACCATCGGGCTCCTGAATGAGAAGGATACCCCGACGCCACGGGCCAATACCTCAAATCCGAGGCGGACAAGGTTCGACGGGCATACGGAGGATGGAGGAGGAGGACTAAGATGAGGAATCAACTTACACATAGTCGACGCGTCTAGGATATATTCAGATCTAAAACTCACG